TTTCCGAGTTAAACGAGTTATAGGATACGCACCGGAAGCAAAATTTTCAATGAATTTCCGATAATAACCCACAGACCTAAAAATTGTTTCACCTCCTTACTATATGGAGGCTCGCCCACGTATAGACGGCTGCAGTTTACATGGGATCACATTCAATGCCCATGGCGGATACCTTATGTCCAATTATGTCCAAAAAAGTGACCTGAGTCTGAACAAGGACACATTTGGAGGGTTTTCAACCCTTTCAACACTAATTCCATCATCCTTCGAAATGTTGTAGTTCATGGAGGCTGAGAAATGAAATTAGAAAAAATATCGCTAGTGTCAATGAAACCTATATATATAATGTCTGTGTATCAATTGTTACGTTTATAATAGAAACATTTTAAGACATATTATTACCGTAAACATACTAAAATATCGCAATCTGGGCACGCAGAAAAGGGTATGTTCACTTTGCATCAAACAGTATTCAAACCGGCTTTCGTGGCAAAATGTTTTTTTTTTTCACACAATCAGTGGATGAATAAACTACTAGACAGTAAAATTTCATTAGCCTCCTATGTTGCATTGTATTCAGGACGCCTATTTCACACACAATCTTATTTTATATCCAAGTGGACCTTCCATATAAACATCTATCTTGCATAATAAGTTTATGAAAATACGCATTTAAACAACATCTACATATTATTTATCACCTGTGGCACTTTCCACTCGAACTAACAATAAATTGTTTATTGGAATTTTCGATTAAACGGAAACGTTCTTGTTGCTGTAAAATACTCGATCAAAATACCAAGTGTTAATTTATATGATAATTTAAGGCCTACCATGTAATACAAAACATTGCAACACGTTTTAACACCATATCTTTCTGCATGAAATAACAATAAGTTGTTTATTTGATAAATCGGAAACATATCTTTCTTTCTATTTTGTACCTGTAAAATAATATACGATTTATCAATTTATATAGCGTCTTTCTACTGATGATTAATATGCAACACGTTTTAACATCCTCTTGTTCCCATCCCTTTTTAGCGAGTATGGTAGTTTCAGGGGTCCTGAAACTAAAATGTTCATGAATTTACGACGTGTTTAATGAATTGCTAAGGTTGCCGCAAGTTAAATATGTTCAGAAGATAGAAACACCAAGATATACTCTATAAATCCCAATTTACAGTCAGTTTTTCTAAAGACATTTTGCGCCTGTTCGGAGAGAACACCACCGGACCCCCGCCCTTACGGAACAAGGATCACTTAGCCCCTGGGGTATCATTAGGACCGACATTAACCACAGGTTCATTTCTGCCTATTTTTTTGTCTAGTGTCCATTGCTGATTGAAAACAGTATTGTTGTGGCAATCACAAGAACTTGTGAAATGAATAACAGACAATCTTATCGGAAATTAATTTTTAAACACCATGTTGAATTCAGTAACGCTGAAAACTTTATTTTTGAAGGAATATCCAAAAGAACAAAAATTGCCATATTGGATTCTATTTTCATTTACCCCAACTAGACTATCTATAATTAGTTGTTGTTATTTTTTTGGATAAAAATTGAATTCTACTCCCTTAAAACCCTTAGCCTATAGGCTATAAAACAAGTCATATCTAACGGAAGTAAAAAAACTAATGACGATTAATTAAAATTCCAACGTTTGGGATTTTATTATGGTGGCCAGTTTGCATTTCTGCCATCATTGATTCTTGAATTGTGTTTTTGAGATCAAAATTGAACGCAGCGACACCGAAAACCATATAAATGACATATCAAATAGGACAAAATGACGATTAAGCCTAACTTTAAATCCGCCATTTTGAATTCCATTTTGACTGCAATTTTGAATTTCTGCTGTATTGGATTTTCAAAATTTATCTTTATCTTACGAAATAGCTGGCATGAAAAATACATTTTTTGATGTGTTTTTTTGGGTGTCCAATTCGTTATTTCATCATATTTCGCCTCTATCACTAAAACACACTGATTACGAGATAACGCTCTCCGAAACGCCACACTGGGTATGAGTTTTCGTGAAAAATTTTAAAAAAATTTAATAATAAATATATTTTTCACGTTAGTTCCCATAGACAGCTTCATTCTGACCTTTATTTCATAGACATTGGACAGAAAACTATAGCAGGTAGGATAAAATTGAAATAACGTCGGCGGCCATCTTTGATGACGTCGTAGGGAATAACCTACCACGTGGTGAGTGTCCACCCAAGTCCAGAATACTGACTAAACCACCTACTAAACATTTCTTCACCCAACACCCCCCCCCCCCTACTCAAACTTTCCTACAGAACCATAGTTAGATCCAGAACTACTATTACTGAACCAGAGAGAGAGAGGGAGAGAGAGATGGGTTTAACGTCCACTCGACACAAACTAGATCATTTCTTCACCCCCCCCCCCCCCTACTCAAACACTTTCCTACAGAACCATAGTTAGATCCAGAACTACTATTACTGAACCAGAGAGAGAGAGAGAGGGAGAGAGAGAGAGAGAGATGGGGTTTAACGTCCACTCGACACAAACTAGATCATTTCGGGACTAACATATATGGTTTAATTTTATTTCAATAATTCGCTTGCGCGTAGGGGGTCTTTAGCAGTGGAAGGAAACCGGAGGACCCGGAAAAAACCCACGAGGTTGGACAGGCGACCCTGCTCCTTGTCACGTACAACCGGGGATTCGAAACCACGCCAGTTGACTCAATGACAGCCCTTATGATACAGCGCGCACCAACCCACCCCCCTCCCCCATTACTGAACGAAGAGCACACTCCGAGCCTTGTGTTCATTTTAATCCCAGTGATTAAATAGCTAAACACATACTGTATGGGAATCTGATCTCGTGCTGTTAATATTTGTATATCAGTTTAACGGTGTATAGGTAATATGTACTTTTATAAGTCTACTTACCTAAATGTATATAAATCTTCTGTTAGTGACCGGCATCGTGTTGGTAATCTGACCCTATGTACACTTCGTTTCAACTTCGTTTCATAACATGATCACCTTTTTTATGGAAGTGTGTTGTCATCGCTCTTTTTGGCCCTCAGTACGTCAGAAATATTTAGGTTTGTTGTATTTTGGCTAATAGTCTTAAAGTTGCAATTTCATATTTTTAAGTTATATTTTTAAAATTTATTAAAGTAAAGCCTTAAAATAGATGGTATCTATAAAAGTCTTACCTTGTTAAAGAATAATCCTATTAATCCTATAATTCACTATTGCCAGTGAGAAATTGGCAAAAATATCATTTTCAACTTAAAATTCAAACGTTTGAAGATAGCTATTCCATGGGGGGGGGGGGGGTAGAAAAACAAGGGAGGTAATTGTGTTATTATTTCCGGGGTCAAAGGATTTTTAAGAGGGAGAATAATACCTATGATCGTATAATAGTGAGTTGACAACCTATTGAGCAAAAGACATAGAAATAATTATGTTTTGACTTTCTTAGAAAATATGAAATTATCGCTTTAAGCGGAACCCCCTATAAACATTTTTTTCTTGGTTTTGTTACTGCCCCACCCCACCCAATCATTATTATTAAAGCCACGAAGGCCAGATTTCCTCGATTGTTTTGACTCAGCCATCGATGTTATGTTAGTGTCCCTGATATAAAAATCCTAAATGCAATCTATGAATGAAGGCTTTTGTATTCTATTTCAACAATCTTATCGAGCGTGGCCCGTCACTTTTATGCGTCGTCATGGTCCTTGACCTAGATTACTTGAAGACAACCCTCCACGGTGCTGCGTTTGTTAGTTGGAGCGGGGCGGGGCGGGGCGGGGGTATATTTTACTTTAATAGATCAGGGGCCTGTTTCACGAAATTTTAACTAAAATAAATCTTTTATTATCCGATCAAATAACTAAAATTTGGATTTTATCTTAGTTAAAATTTGGTGAAACAGGCCCCGGAATGAGAAGAGAAACTAAGCTGGTTGACCGATATTTTAATTCTTAGGTCGACAAGTGATTCGAATATGCAATGTATTCTTCCAGAATTTTGAGTAGTATTTTTTCTGCTTCCATTTAAAGATACATTATGTAAGCTTTAAATAAAGAGCTGGCTATAATAGTTCGAAAATAGATAATGTAAAATGAATAATTTGAAAATTTCATTCAAATTACAGAGTAATTGCGAGCGAAGATATTAGCCTTTGAAGGTTTGACAAGACGTGTGCAATAATTTCAACCACCTTACTGGTTGTTCGAAGCTAAGTCTCCCTCCTCCATTTTTAGCTTCATTCAGTTATATAGTGGGATAACTGGTGTTTTCCTTTTGCGTTCGTCACTTCCGATTGTTGAAGCATTGATTACGCATCTATCGTATCAAAGATCTCTGTGATAAAATAATATTTGGAACGTGTTTAACCAGTTCTATCACATATGTGGTAATAACTGGCACCAATATTGTCCTTTAAATATTGTATATTAGGATCCTACCTCTTCACGGCAAGATAACAACAATATTGATTGAAATTGATCAATATCGAATTCTAATTCGTGTTTTTAATTTCGAATATTATGGGAAATATTAAGTTAGGGACTTTGCTCTTATACGGTAGAATGTTCTCCGTATGCAGAATAGGAAATGAGGTTTTGAAATCAGAAACAAAACAAAATTTTAATCCATTCTTAGTTTTCCCCTAACCAGTAACTTTAGTTCCCGAATTCTAGGTCTACACTGTCACATAATTTGGCACGGTTCTTGAATATTTGACACGATTTGTCTTCACCAGTAATTTTATACTTGAGGAGTTGTTTGACCAATCCGTTGAATATTGATCTAGTATCGGTGTCCAGATTATTAGGGGGTTTTATTTGTAAAAGAATATGCCATTTCCAAATACGGTAGCCTTGAACTGTATGTCTCTATATAAACCCCCTAAAACACAAAGACCCGTTATTTATTGGTTAAATAACCGAGGTCTTGTGACATATTAGTTAATAATTATAGTTGAACAACCCAGGAGTCGTGACATATTGGTTAAATAACCGTAGTTGAACAATCCAAGATCCGTGATATATTGGTTAAATAACTTTAGGTGACCGTTATGATGTGGAGTCTGGTTCTGTTAGCTTCAGCAGTGGTAGCTGTAATTTCTGGATATGGCATCAGTCAGGTAATATTAAATACTGTTGCCATTTGATTAACCCATCTGCTTCCATGTCTATTTATACCAATATGTGTGACTGTCGTTTGTTAGTTGGTCTGTCTGTGTGTCTGATCAGGATTGGCGGCTACACTAAGGCTGTCCCGGGGCTGAAATTTGGTATATAGGGCGTAGCTCGGACCACGGAGTACCAGAGGTCAGGTGGCGTTGGACTATCGCGTCCAGTTTCTGGGTTGTTTTACTTTCAACCCGTGCAGTGCCTGGTCATCCGGTAGTAACCAATAATATTGTCTTTGGGAGACTTTGGAAGCCACGGTGGATCAGTAAATATGACGTTGTTTCACTGACGACGAGATGCCGAATGTTTGCTGAGAAAGTTGTTCGAGAATTTTCACATTGAATTCATCTTATGTCAGGCCCGTAGCTAGCGGGGGATGGCAAGGGGGCATATATTTATCAGCGCCCCATAAGTCGAGTGACATTGGTTGGGCTGCCACACCCCCTTGCCCCCCCCCCCCCCCCGCTAGCTACGGGCCTGTATATAAAAGCGTCTAGTCGTTCGGACGGGACCAACAATGGAGATCAAGTGTAAATACATGTAAAAGATGGAAATAAGAATATTAACCCAGTGAGGTGCACGTTCGCCTCCAATAACCCCGTCAACACAGAAATATTAAGACGTTAGACTCCATTTTCTGTGAAACCTTCTAGATCACGCTTTCTGGAAAATTCTAGGTTCATTCTAACGCATTGTTTAGTTATTGGAGAGATTTTTAATGATTCGCAATTTGACAAAGTTGGGTTTCACGTCCAGCTTTTCTACTAGGTCGGGACTAATTAAGAGGGGCATACCTCATGCTATGTACCACGAGGGGTATTGTGTTCGGGACTAATTAAGACGGGCATACCTCATGCTATGTACCACGAGGGGTATTCTGTTCGGGCAGCGGCACTACGACTTACTCATTTAAACTACCAAAGATTTGGTTAGACGATAAAACGCTGTTTTTTTGTCAGGAAATCCTAACGACGGACAACTTTCTCGGCCGCCAGCCGGGGCCGTGTAACACTATGTCTTACAGATAACAGAATATCATAATGTATATAAGAACTTTATTGTAAACATGAAATAGACACAAATCGAGAGGAGCTCTATTCCAAGTCTGACTTGCTGTCAGTAAACGTTGCTTATAAAGCCTCTAACAATTAGCTGAGGTGGACAAGAGTGATAATCATATATGGTATTGTTCATTATCAATTATGGTGTTTGTATATTTCTTTGAAAGTCATTGTCAGGTCAAGGTATAATGAACTGACCACTAATACATTCTCTTTGAAATTCAGTCTAGTGTTACACGCGGATCATGTGTAGCTTGTTAAAGAACGTCTTGAATAAACTAGATGTTTATTAAGAACGTGTCTTCACAGAAGTTGTCGAGAGTTTAAACGTCAACTTCAGGTATAAATCACTCTGTTACAGCCGTCTGGTTGGTTTAAACATATATTTTATTGACAAACATCAAAAGGATCAGTCAAATTGTTATTATCATTACAATTTTAAAGAGTTAAGTCGCTAATATTTAGCATCTAGAAATTGACACAAATGGGTCGCAACGCATATAATTATTGTATTATGAATGTATATAAACTGATTTACATTCAATCGTTTCTGTTTTTACAATAATTTCTTATCAGTTATGTTCGGCGAAATACGCCAGAAGTCTCAATCGAATGGCAATCTCTAGCGTCTGGTTATTCCAGTCTACACTGATAGGATAATATTTATTGCGCATTCTCTCCAGATAAGAATATGACCTCACCGTTTGACGTGACTTGTGGAATATGTCTAGCTTCGTTCTTCCAGTCCCTTGTTACAAATGACGCCGAATGATAAAATGTTTATTTTGTCTTAAATATTGGATATCACAAGACCATCTTTTTCCCGGTAAGATCACAACATCAACGTTGATTTACATCGACAAATAATTCGTGTTCACTGTCGAAGATTTTGGATGATATTGAGCTAGAGACTTTAGCTACTTTAAGCAAAATATACAATATAATTTAAATACACGAGAGGTAATAAATAAACTATAAATCGTATCAAAGTAGCTTTGAATATGTTCAATAAGATTTGCAATGAAAAATAGAAGTTGTGAGATCAGAGTTAGATATTAAACGAGTATCCGGGCCCGAGTAGGTTTTAGAAAAATTTCTTAGATCCAAACAAGAATTTTACATAGAATTGTGTTCATTTTTCGAACACCGCTTTCTGGTTCCACTTTGCTATAAGTGTGTTTTTAGATTTGATTCAGAGGTTCTTGATTCTTCCTTTTGTTTAAGTCATGTTTTTTTCAGTTGCGCTTTTATAGTCAACGTCGATTTTAGCTGCTATCGATTTCCGATTTCATCGATCGTACAATCTGGTTATAATACAGATCTATATTTCGTTTCGTTTTTTATGTGGCCTACACTACATGAAGATCTGACCGGTTGTAGCGATAGGTCACGTCAGAGGTCATATGACGTCAGACATTTGATTAAGAAATCAGCATTGATGTTACTAGTGGATTACCGACAGTTCCGTGCAAAACACGTCTAAAGCTCGTCGTAACAGACCGTTTCATTGGCTTATTCCTCAAATCAATAAGAACGCCTATTATATAATAACTCTTCCAGATCCTGGTGTAGTAGTAAAACGAAATTTTGAACTATAGAAAACGAAACGAAATAGGATCTGTGTTTTAATCAGATTAAACGATCGGACTTCATTAGTTATCTTCATCTTGTGTAACGATGGTGGCGCGCATACTTGATTCAGAGAAACATCTACAAGCGTATCGATAATAAGGTTATTTGTTTACAATATAACAAAACGCTTGATTCCGATTACAAACATCATCATGTTAAAACAAAGCACTGGGGTAAAAATGTACGGTTCACGGTATCGGTTGTTGTGGATGTGAAACAGCCTACGTTTAGTTTCAAAATTCAAAACCATGATTCATAACGGTGCAAAAAATACAAAATTAGACATATAGACCACCTCATCCCCAATTCATAACATTAGGCGACAAAACCAGCGTTACTGACTCACATAAAAATGAAGGACAAACTTCGACATGTGGTTTACTTGACAAAAGCGAAAAACTACATTCCTTGATTTATCTCATCAAACATTGGGGTTATATGCCCTTTAATTGCATGCATTTTCTTATGATAATGGGTGTATTAAAATTGTTACATTTTAATCTGGGGGGTTGGATGGCCGAATGGTTAGTACGTGAGTGCTGTATCATAAGACCTGTCATTGAGTCAACTGGCGTGGTTTCAAATCCCCGGTTGTACGTGACAAGGAGTAGGGTCGCCTGTCCAGCCTCGTGGGTTTTCTCCGGGTCCTCCGGTTTCCTCCCACTGCTAAAGCGAATTATTGAAACAAAATTAAACCATATGTTAGTCCCGAAATGACCTAGTTTGTGTCGAGTGGACGTTAAACCCCATTTCTATGTCTCTCTCTCTCTCTCTCTCTCTCTCTCTCTCTCACACACACACACATTTTAATCTGTGACTAGTTCAGTTGGTGTTCTTTTTTTTTTATAGTTATATTATTATGTTAAATATGCTAGTCAATACTTGTTGAAACATTGCAGTATTAAAGTTACACCTAGTGATTGTTATCCATAATATTGTATTTGTCTTATTTTAATGTTTTTTTGTACAAATACAATGATTTACAAATATTATTTGCATTACCTAAACTCATTTTTGGAAATGGAAATACACGGAATGGATTTAATAGTTTCTAAAGATTATATTGGGTATTGGATGGATCACGTGGCTAAGTGGGTAAGACGTTGGCTTGCTAGCCTGGAGGTCGGGTGTTCGATCCCTGTATTGGCCCAGGAAGTCCAGTCGTTCGGATGGGACGAAAAACCGAGGTCCCGTGTACACATGTCCGTCTTCATAAGCCCAGTTTAGGAGCATAACAGTAGGACGTTAGGTATTGAAAAATAATCAAACGGTATTAAAGGCACTTTTAAACTAGATGCGAAAGAATATGGCATATATATTGTTAATAACAGACCCCATAAGCGTACGTGCCAGGGAGGTACGGGGTGGGTGGAGGGTGAACTCTCGGGCAGTGTGGCTTTTTCGGCAGACGGGCAATGCGAAAAATAAAATGATAATTTGTAAAAAAAAAAAGTACCCGAAATCTAATAAGACTCTACTTTTACTTTTATTTTAATTGAGTACCACGTATTTGTATTGAAACTACTCTAGATACTCAGTTGACTCGAAATGAGAATTTGTTTATCTTTTCATTCATGTTCCCCCGCTTCAAAAATCCGGAATTAGGTTGCAAAACGACATCGATAAGTTCTCCTGTACTCCAGGCGTGGAATAAAAGGAAATGCATTTGCGGCAGTCCAGTTTTCCTAATTTTCAGGGACGAGGTCTCTTCACCCCCAACGTGATATTTTTTTTCTGACATTTCTGTTCTTTAACAATCCGTTGAATATTGAATGTAGTAACCATTAGAATTATGCAGTAAGATGTCAATGCGTATTAGATAACTATATCATTAGCTATGTGCATTAGATGTTGAGGCCAGATTAATTGGTAATTTCGAGGGTTACAGTTCTGTATCTTTTATTTAATCACAAAATCTGCCCAAAGTAGCCTAAGTTCTTAGTAAAATGAAACGAAATGGGCTATTGGGGGCTATATATATGCTGCCCCGTTCCAGGCCCTCTGTCCAGCACCACTTCAAGACAAATCGCCAAGTGCAGTGACGTTCAAACAATCTAGATGGGATTAAATTCAAGGATGGCCAGTCTCTAAAACGTTAATGTTAACACGTGTGGTTTGGGGACTCTTTCCATAATGTAGCCCCGAAATTAGGCGCACTAAAAGTTCCCATAAGCTAGAAACATCGGGATATGCTATAAATCAACATTTACAAATAGTTTTTTTCAAAACAGCTCAAGCAAATGGTTGGCTGAGAACCC